AAATCCACACAAAAACATACGAAATCGGAAGTTTTAGCTTAAAACAGTTCTTATCTTACGACTCCTTCGAGTCAAAGAGAATTTAGATCTGTAAACAAAATAAGATCAAAATGATGATGATCAGGAGAAGAAAAACAAATAAATGAATTCTGACCATATTCAGTTGCAATTTAAGCAGAGCACATCGTCTCAGTGCCCATACGCATCTGGGTTGTACGCCAATAAAACGTTCAACATTCTTCAACTGTTCTTCTTTTCGCTGTTCTAAACCGAGCAAACGATCACGCAATTGAACAACCTGAATTAGTGCACAATTATCAAAGTTCGATTATCGTTTAACGAGTGTGATTCACTGTAAAATGAAAACGATTTCCTCTGCTGTATGGGGATCTACTTTGGATTGAGTGATCTAATTCTGCAGGCAAATTCTTGATGATAAAGCATAAGAAGTTGCTTATTGTTAGGGGAAATGTTTATAAGTAAACGATGTTATTCGTCCTTGTTCTTCGTCTTGAGTCGAGAACCAACGGACGGTTCTCTTGGGTCATCGATTTACAATGTTTTCGTTTTTTCTTCAGCGTCCGACACAACAAATCGACTACACAACACATCAACGACACAACATTCTCTTGCTGAATATGTTGCTGCCGATATGTTTGACTCTAAGTGAATACCTCAAGGTATTGTGGTCGTATTTTCAAGGCCATTTCCAGACAGCCCAACGCTTTCGACGGACTCCGTTCGGCCAGACTTTGCGCGAGACGATAGTAAATGCGACTACTCGGTCCGTTCTGCTTGATAACCTAGAATAAGCTGGAAATTAGAAACACGAAGCCACACAGCCGTTGATGGCTGTATTTTGATGAGGGTTTCGAAGACAGAATGTTGAAATGATGAACGACAAATCACCTTCAACAGCAGCGATGTAGCGTGCGGGTCGTTTGGATCTAAACGAAGCAGAACTTCGGCTAATAATAGCATAACTCTCCATGAAGTCAACTGCCCGCTCAGTGCTTTCTTGGCATTAATTCCTGCTCCTATAATAGTTCTGATCAGTTATTCTTCATCAATTTCGCATGACTTTAAAGACATTCTGCTTCACCAACATCGAAAATGTCCCATAAGCTTTATAAAATAAAGGATGAGATCTATAAGAAATTCGAAGAAATTTACCATCTATTTGGTTATTACTCAACGCTTTTGCTGCCATCCAACAATACCTCTCATCACCATCGACTTTTGCTTCATCAAGTTCTTTCACGAACTCATCATTTGAACAGTCTGATTTGGCGAGCTTCTGAAAACATTTCAAGGAAATATCATTTCATGAGTAATTTCAATGAGATCATCGGAAAACTTCGAGTTTTCCAAAGAATACGAACGTAACTGTTTCAACATCCTCTCTCCGTAGTCAAAAATGTACGAAAGCAACCAAACAGGTGATGTGAAATCATCAACTTACCGACAAATGTAGAAAGGTCCAAATTTCATTGTGGAAATGCTCCGAGTTCATTATTTGATCGAACGACTGCAACGAAGACTGATCGGCGATGCCGTATAATGCTTCAGCTTTTGCGGTCAATAAAAATTCATCGGTAATACGGGCGAGTGCAAGATGTTTTTCCGTCAACAGCGCACTATCCACCGTCTCCAGCAAACGTTCATATTGTTCCAGATTCAGATAAACAATTATCAGCGGTGCACTGAATGGCCTACAAAAAAAAGAATTTCTTTTCACTTGCTGAACAACAATTCCATGGACATTTACACTGACGTATCAGTTTAGCTGACAACTAACAACTAACATCTCTGTGTTCAGATGACTGATCAACAATTCAATTATTATAGAACAGGCACAATTATTACTACTTTAATTGCGATTATTTCACTTCCCTTTCTCAAAATGTATGGGTTATGATCGCCTCATTACGGTCACCGTTCATTCTAATATATCAAGCTAGAATTAATAAGAAAAGAAAGAATTGATGCAAATGAACAACAAAATAATTGCACAATTACGATACAATCCATGAAATTCATTCAATTTTGCTCAAACATGTCAACTGAACAAGTCACAAACCATTTGAGTTGTTGTGCGTTGAGTGTTTGAATGAGCTCAAAGCCGGCATCAAATCTGCGCTCACAAATGAACTGAAGAAGCGTTTCGAAACAATCGCTTTCAGAAGTGCTCACTGATCTCAACATCACCAACAATTTCTCATCAACACATCGCTTGATCAGTGAATTTGTCGCGATTAAATCACTGAGCGATTTCTGAAGCCATTGCTGTCGTTGCGATTGGAGCTGTGTTGGTTCGGCACTTGAATCGCCTTGTTGCTCGTGCTCACTGGCGCCATATCGTCGTATATATCGTGACGCTTCAGCAATAACCAATTCGTTCAACTCATCAAGGCTCTAAAACACACGAGATACCCGGTCAATCTGCCTGAAGACATTTAGCCTAAAGACACATTGCCTAACGGATACTTTGCCTAACAGACATTTTGCCTAAGGAACAGTTTGCCTATTAGGCGAAATATCCATTA